TGATAGTGGCCCCCACTGCTCCCCCCACCCACTCTCTCTTCTGATTCCTAACTCTTCTCACCTTGGCTTGCTCCTCTGGGAGGAAATGCCTGGGGTTCTTATAAGAAGAGACTGGGACACAGACACACACAAGGGGAAACCATGGGAAGACACAGGAAGAAGACAGCCGTCTACAAGCCAAGGACCGAGGCCTCGGGAGGAACCAACCCTGCTGACACCTTGACGTGGACTTCAGCCTCCAGAACGTGAGAAAGTTGTTTAAGCTGACGCTGCTTTGTGATGGCACCCGAGCTGATGTATATAAGGATTATCTTTTACTCATCACAATTCACAGAAAGTCATAAAATAAATCCATCAGTTAATTACTTAGCTCTATTTGCTACATTAACCATCTCTTGATTGGAGGGCAGACAGACAGCTTGATTAATCTGTTCACCCTCCTATCCCTCTGTGTTCCCTAAATCGGTGCTGGATATGAGAGGGGCTTCATAGTTCTTTGTTGAATAAATGAGTGAGTTATCCATAATGTGAGCAAAAGTCCTCATAGGCACCTACATCTGGCTTTGATTCTTGCATTTAAAAACTGCTTCATAGTCTTATTAAAAGCAGTTCGGAATGCGCCGCTGTGTCCATGGAGAGAGGCTGAGACATCTGAGCTGCTGCGGCCCAAACCATCAGGGGCCCTGGGACGGCCAGGATGTGGGCTTCGTTAGTCCAGGCCACCGTCCGGGCTGTGAGCAAGAGGGAGCTGCAGGCCACCAGGGCCGCCCTCACCCTGACACCTTCAGCGGTAAACAAGATAAAACAACCTCTTAAAGATGAGCCTGAACATGTAGGCCTGAAAGTTGGTGTCTCAACCAGGGGTTGTAATGGCCTTTCTTATACTCTAGAATATGCAAAAACTAAAGGAGATTCTGATGAAGAAGTTGTTCAAGATGGAGTCAGAGTGTTCATCGAAAAGAAAGCACAGCTAACACTTTTCGGAACAGAAATGGACTATGTTGAGGACAAATTATCCAGTGAGTTTGTGTTCAATAACCCCAACATCAAAGGAACATGTGGCTGTGGAGAAAGCTTCAAGATTTGACTCCTCAGGACTGCTCTGGCTGTCCGCTCCAGGAAAGCTGTGGAAGAACTCGTGACTGTCACGTGCTTAAGGTTGACAATGCATGGCTGCATTATGAGGAAAATAAATTGATGCATTTTGAAAATGAAGCCAGTGTGTTAGATTTCAGAAGTGGTATTTGTCTTCTTTTTTTAGGGGACAGAATATGAGAAGCCATCACTCTCTTTGGGTCATTTTTCTGATCTGTAAAGAAAAATAAATCCTGCCCTGTACTTAAAAAAAAAAAAAAAAAAAAAAAAAAAAAAAAATCACTTCGGCCCTGGTCGGTGTGGCTCAGTTGGTTGAGTGTCGTTCCAAACACCAAAAGGTTGCCGATTTGATTCCCAGCCAGAGCACATGTCCAACTTGTGGGCTCGATCCCCAGAAGGGGGCGTGGAGGAGGCATCCCATCAGTGGATCTCTCTCGACATTGATGTTTCCATCTCTCTCTCCTTCTCCCTTCCTCTCTCTCTCTCTCTAAAACCATTAAGAACATGCTTTAAAAAGTAAGTAAGTAGTTCGGTAGAAAGCAACCCTCAAAGCAGAGAGCAAATGGGAGAGGGCAAAGGCCTCCCTGGGTTGGAAAGACGGGATGTCCCATAGAGACTGTGGGAAGGCCCAGCAGCAGAAGATACAGCAGATCTAAAGGCAAAGCGAAGAGGGCCAAGGAGGGGGAAGGGGGAAACGAAAGAGGCCTCTCAGCTTCCAGAAAGCTCTGTGACTGCGGAGCTGGGAAACTTGAGCCTGCCTCAGTTTCTTCTTTTGTAAAATAGGAACGTGTGTGTCCATCTGCCTGTTCCCTCCCCCTGAGGTGGTCATGGGCAATGTCAACACATGAATAGAATAACACACAGGAACGTCCTCTGTGAGCTGCCAGGGGTTCTAGAGACACGAGGGCCTGTCAGGATCAGTGCTGTTGCCAAAAGAGTAACCGGGGAAAAATGGCTTCCCCAGACGTTTCCTGTTCTCCCAGAGTTTGGACCAAAGGGCCTTGTGGCCCCATGAAACCCATGCCCACACATCCTGGCCATGGCCTCTGCCTTGAACGCCTGCTCGTCCATCTCCCACGCTCTGACCTCCGTGGGGGACGCCCCATGTCTGTGTGAGAGAAGTTGGGGACAAATGAGCCAGAAGGAACATCACCGTCCAAGCTGACTTACCTGCCATCGGAGTGGTGGCTGGTCACAGAAGGGGAGCTGGTGGTATCTTCTGGGGCAACTATTAATATGTTCACAGTGGTGAGGGTGGTGGAGGTCGGCACTGTAGTTGTTGGGTGTCATACAGAACAGATTACATTCCACTCTCCTGCTAACGCACCCACCGCCCTGCACATAGCTTGGAGCCGGGGAGGAATGTGGGCTGCCCTCGCCTGTAGGGCCTGGAAGGGAGCCTTGGGATGGGGTCTCCTGCTGGACCACTCGTATCTCCTTGGCTACTGGGAGCCTCAGAGCCTCAGAGGCCTCGAGTCTGGGCACAGATCGAAGAGGACATTGAGCAGGCCTTGGAAGGGTGAAGGGCCCAGGACTGCCTCAGGACTAGTGAGGGTCAGCTTTGGACAAGTTTTTAAGTTTCTGTGATGGGGTAGATCCTTCTCAGGATCCTTCTCAAGGTCCCATAAGAACAGGAAGATGCTGTACTTGGCAGCTATTCAGCCTCCAGGATTCCAGGTGTGGTGGGAGCGCTGTGAGTGTGTTCCCTCCCGGCCATAAGTGCGCTGTGAGCTGGTGCTGGCTGTCCGAGGGTGGGCAGGAGCAGAGCCCAGCACATACACTTGTTCACACCCCGATCTCCCAGGAGCATCTGTTCTAGGAGGTCTTAGGAAGAGAGCGTCTCTGAGCACAGATGTGTCAATGGCTCATGATGGGATTTCAGGAAGAGCAGGGACACCAGGGCACCAGAGGTGCCAGGAAAGCCTTGGCAGGAACTGGCTCCCACAGAAGAGGCTTCCTTCTGCCTGTGAGCTAAACCTGGGGCCATCCCCGTGGTCTCTAAGGGCAATGGATTGAGGCGAAGAGCTGTGCAGAGGAAAAATGTGCCCAGAAAGGCTTGATCCCATCTTGAGCCCCAATAGCATGTAAGAGAAGCCCTACACCTCCCAACCCACGTGAGCAGCCGGGGTTCCCCGAGACCTCAGGACCAACCCCCTCGGTGGCAGTTCATCTGAGTGAGGGACCTTCAGTCACTGGAGAGGGACCTCAGGGACCAGGGCAGAGCAGGCCCTGAAAGGACACAGACACACATGCACTTGCTCTTACCTGGGTCAACGGTCACTCTAACAGGGACTCTAGGGTCAGTTCCAGTTCTCTCAATCCCACACCAGTAAGTGTCTGTATCTTCTCCCCTGAGCTCCTTCATGGTCACAGTGAACATGTGGTTTGTCTGATCGTCCCTGATGGACACACGCTCCTTCACCCCAAATGCAGATTCATTGGTTTTAACAAGGATCTTGCAGCTGCCGGATTCAGCCCCTCGACACCACCACTTCCTGGAGGCCTCCCACCCTGGTTTATACTGACACTGCACAGTCAGCGATCCCTGCTCCAGACCTCTCACTGCTTCTGGACCCGAGATGTCAACTGATGAGCCTGGAAAAAAAAAACAATGTACTGTCATCTTACCCCCTCGTCTCCACCCAGAGACCAGGGCCACAGCCACCTGCACTGTGAGCAGGTGGATGAGTAGCTGCACGCACGGTCCAGCGGACCTGCCCACCCTGGCCTCCCTGCCAGTCCCTCCCTGGACCTGAGCGCTTTCCTGGAGGCTTCCCCGCTCCAGCTGCAAGCCCCACAAGCTGCCAGGCTTTGGAACCACCCAGGCCCTGAGCCCCGAGTGACAGGGTGGGTCTGGGCTGGAGCCCGAGCATCGGTGTTCCTGAAAGACCCAGAAAAGGAATCGCCACGACCCGTCCATCTGGTTCAAAGCGCAGCCCGGCTGAGAGACACTGGCCGGAGGGGCCCTTGTGTTCGCTGGGGTTCTGTTTCTGTCCTGCACCTACAGAGCCCCTGTGAGGGAGCAGCGCCTCAGTTTCCACATCAACCAAAGGGGCCTGGATGCTGACAGGGCCCTGCCAGTAGCCCTGACGTGTCCCACCCCCCGGGACAGAACCTCTGGCTTTCTGCCAGCCTTGTCACCCCAGCTCCTGAGACCCCGGCCCCACTCACCTGGGACGATGAGGAGGAGCAGGGGTGGGAGTAGCCACATGGTCCTGCCTGAGGGCTCCCTCCCTGGTCACCGCCAAATGCCAGTGCCCTCCTGATCGGAGCCAGGCGCTCACTGCCCTTGATTTGTCTAAGTCGTTGTGTTTTGTTTCACCTATATACTTCCCTTAAATTTTTATCTTCAGTTACTTCCTCATTTCGTTAGGTGGGAGACAGGCAGTGTCACCCTTTACAAGTACGTGGCCGCTGTGTCTCCAATGGTTTGGGGGAGGCAAAGCAACCAGGCCTGGCCAGGGTCCATCTGGAGTGTGTGTGTGAGGAGCTGAGAAGGTGGCTGCAGGCACAGCTCCAGGGCGAGCAGCAGGGTGGGAAGAGCCCAGAGCTTGGGGTGGGGGAGTGACCGACTCTTGCTGGGAGTGCCCTTTGGGGAGGACGCAACACTCAGGGCCTTGGGGACATTATGAGGAAGAAGTGGTCTTTGGCTTCAGCCTCATTTTGTCCTGTTTGCTTTTTCCCATGCCCTCGCGTGTGTCGCTGGCTGTGGGCCATAGAAAGGTGAAGGGGCCCAGGACTGCCTCAGGTCCAGGGCAGCTGGGGGTCAGCTTTGGACAAGTTTTTAAGTTTCTGTGATGGGATACCACCTTCTCAGGATCCTTCTCGAGGTCCCGTGAGAAGAGGAAGATGCTGCACTTGGCAGCTACCCAGGCCTCCCGGGTTCCAGGTGTGGTAGGGGCGCTGTGAGTGTGTTCCCTCCCGGCCATAAGTGCGCTGTGAGCTGGTGCTGGCTGTCCGAGGGTGGGCAGGAGCAGAGCCCAGCACATACACTTGTTCACACCTGGATGCTCCCAGGAGCGTCTATTCTAGAAGGTCTTAGAAGAGAGCGTCTCTGAGCACAGATGTGTCAATGGCTCATAATGGGATTAAGGCACCCAGAGTGCAACTGTTTGGCTGTGGAAGCCTTTCCTGACCTCAGGAGTGAACCACAGCACCCCACCCGTGCTGGGCCTCCTTCCTCCTGAGATCAGATATGGACAAGGGGTGGGAACAGCAGCTATGAGCCTGGACCCAAAATTCCAGAAAGAGCAGAGACACCAGGGCACCAGAGGTGCCAGGGAAGCCTTGGCAGGAACTGGCTCCCACAGAAGAGGCTTCCTTCTGCCCATGAGCTAAGCCTGGGGCCATCCCCGTGGTCTCTAAGGGCAATGGACTGAGGCGATGAGCTGTGCGGAGGAAAAATGTGCCCAGAAAGGCTTGATCCCATCTAGGGGAGGTCCTGGGAGCCCCAAGAGCATGTAAGAGAAGCCCTGCACCTCCCAACCCACATGAGCAGCCGGGGTTCCCCGAGACCTCAGGACCAACCCCCTCGGAGGCAGTTCATCTGAGTGAGTTCAGTCACTGGAGAGGGACCTCAGGGACCAGGGCAGAGCAGGCCCTGAAAGGACACAGACACACATGCACCTGCTCTTACCTGGGTCAACGGTCACTCTAACAGGGAACCCAGCGTCAGTTCCAGTTCTCTCAATCCCACACCAGTAAGTGTCTGTATCTTCTCGCCTGAGATCCATCGTGGTCACAGTGAATGTGCGGTTTTTCTGATCATCCCAGATGGACACACGCTCCTTCACCCCAAATGCAGATTCATTGGTTTTAACAAGGATCTTGCAACTGCTCCAAACAGCCCCTCGACACCACCACTTCAGGTATGCCTTCCACCCTGGGTCATAGTGACACTGCACAGTCAGCAATCCCCGCTCCAGACCTCTCACTGCTTCTGGACCCGAGATGTCGATTGATGAGCCTGGAAAACACAAATGCATGTACCTGTCACCACCACCTCACGGACAGGGCCATAGCCGTCAGCACTGTGAGCAGCTCCAACAAGTCCCAGGCCTGATGAGTGGGACAGAGTCAAGGAAGGAAATCACCTGCCACAACGCAGACCTTTGTCCTTCAAATTCCACTGGATCAGAGCAACTGCAGAGCTCAAGGAAACAAAGGCATTGACTCTGAGCAATCATTACATCCTATAATTCACTCCCTCCTACTCCCTCTGGCTCCTAAATCGTTGTCCTTTTGCAGCATCTCTGGGTTAAGCTGTTCTCTCGGGGAGGAAGTGCCAGCGGACCCATTTCCACGAGTGTGCTTGCTCCTGACCTGCACTGGTGGCCTCAGGAGGTCCAGCTGCTGCACCCGCTCCCCTGGCTGTGCAGAGGCCGCTCCTAGTGGGTCTAATGGTTCCATAGAAGCACCCCGGCTGCAGGGCCTTTGACCTTGACCAAAGCAGTGCTGCCAACTACAGAATCCAAATCACACTGATCCCATGTTCTCCATTGGCTCGCCATATATTTCAGTTCCAGTTTTCTAGAACAAGTGATCTACCGCCTCACGTGTCTTTCTTAAGCCTACTAGAAAGGATTCAAGCAAGAGCTAAAAAGTGAGACAAGGGACAAGCTCATGAGCCCTCATGGGTGCAGACCTAGAGATGGGAGGTTCTCTGGGGTGAGCCAGGAGGACCCAGGGCAACCCGCCCCGAGGCTGTGGATCCACTTCCCTGGTTGCTCACCTGGGAGGACGAGAAGCAGCAGAGCTGGGCAGCCCAATGGCCCTACCTCCCTAGACCCTGTCCTCTCTGAGCACCCAGTGACAACTCTACCCAAGAACTTAACATTCAGCCCAGAATTAGCCTCATGGTCTCCCTCCCTGTGATATGACTCCATGCGTGTCCGTCACTGCACTGACCTCACTGGATGACGGTCTGGCCTTTGGTTCCACCGGAGCCGAAACTCAAGCAGGTGGATGAGTGGCTGGTCCCACGGTCCAGAGCGCCTGCCCACCCTGGCCTCGCTGCCGGTCCCTCCCTGGACCTGAGCGCTTTCCTGGAGGCTTTTCCGCTCCAGCTGCAAGTCCACCAGCTGCCAGGCTTTGGAACCACCCAGGCCCTGAGCCCCGTGTGACAGGGTGGGTCTGGGCCAGAGCCCGAGCATCAGTGTTCCTGAAAGCCCCCGAGAAGGATAAACCGTCCATCTGGTCCAAATCGCAGCTCGGCTGAGAGACACTGGCCGGAGGGGCCCTTGTGTTCGCTGGGGTTCTGTTTCTCTCCTGCACCTTCAGAGCCCCTGTGAGGGAGCAGCGCCTCGGTTTCCACTTCACCCAAAGGGGCCTGGATGCTGACAGGGCCCTGCCAGTAGCCCTGACGTGTCCCACCCCCCGGGGCAGACCCTCTGGCTTCCTGCCAGCCTCGTCACCCCAGCTCCTGAGACCCCGGCCCCACTCACCTGGGACGATGAGGAGGAGCAGGGGTGGGAGCAGCCACATGGTCCTGCCTGTGGGCTCCCTCCCTGGTCACCGCCAAATGCCAGTTCCCCTCTGAGCAAAGCCAGACGCTCACTGCCCTTGATTTGTCTAAGTCGTTGTGTTTTGTTTCTCTCACCTACTTCCCTTAAGTTTTTATCTTCAGTTACTTCCTCATTTCGTTAGGTGGGAGACAGGCAGTGTCACCCTTTACAAGTACGTGGCTGCTGTGTCTCAAATGGTTTGGGGGAAGCAAAGCAACCAGGCCTGGCCAGGGTCCATCTGGAGTGTGTGTGTGAGGAGCTGAGAAGGTGGCTGCTGGCACAGGTGCAGGGTGAGCAGCGGCCCCGGGAAAGAGCCCAGAGCTCGGGGTGGGAGAGTGATCAACTCGCGCTGGGAGTGCCCTTTGGGGAGGACACAGCGCTCGGAGCCTTGGAGACATTATGAGGAGGAAGTGGTCTTTGGCTTCAGCCTCATTTTGTCCTGTTTGCCTTTTCCCACGCCCTTGCGTGTGTCGCTGGCTGTGGGCCATAGAAAGGTGAAGGGGCCCAGGGCTGGCTCAGGTCCAGGGCAGCTGGGGGTCAGCTTTGGACAAGTTTTTAAGTTTCTGTGATGGGATAACTCCTTCTCAGGATCCTTCTGGAGGTCCTGTGAGAAGAGGAAGATGCTGCACTTGGCGCTATCCAGGCCTCCCAGGTTCCAGGTGTGGTGGGGGCGCTGTGAGTGTGTTCCCTCCCGGCCATAAGTGCGCTGGGAGCTGGTGCTGGCTGTCCGAGGGTGGGCAGGAGCAGAGCCCAGCACATATACTTGTTCACACCCGGATCTCCCAGGAGCGTCTGTTCTAGGAGGTCTTAGGAAGAGAGTGTCTCTGAGCCCAGATGTGTCAATGGCTCATGATGAGATTTCAGGAAGAGCAGGGACACCAGGGCACCAGAGGTGCCAGGGAAGCCTTGGCAGGAACTGGCTCCCACAGAAGAGGCTTCCTTCTGCCCATGAGCTAAACCTGGGGCCATCCCCGTGGTCTCTAAGGGCAATGGACTGAGGCGATGAGCTGTGCGGAGGAAAAATGTGCCCAGAAAGGCTTGATCCCATCTAGGGGAGGTCCTGGGAGCCCCAAGAGCATGTAAGAGAAGCCCTGCACCTCCCAACCCACGTGAGCAGCCGGGGTTCCCCGAGACCTCAGGACCAACCCCCTCGGTGGCAGTTCATCTGAGTGAGGGACCTTCAGTCACTGGAGAGGGACCTCAGGGACCAGGGCAGAGCAGGCTCTGAAAGGACACAGACACACATGCACGTGCTCTTACCTGGGTCAATGGTCACTCTAACAGGGAACCCACGGTCAGTTCCAGTTCTCTCGATCCCACACCAGTAAGTGTCTGTATCTTCTGGCCTGAGCTCCGTCATGGTCACAGTGAACGTGTGGTTTGTCTGATCATCCCTGATGGACACACGCTCTTTCACCCCAAACGCTGATCCATTGGTTTGAACAAGGATCTTGCAGCTGCCCCAATCAGCCCCTCGACACCACCACTTCAGGTATGCCTTCCACCCTGGGTTGTAGTGACACTGCACAGTCAGCGATCCCTGCTCCGGACCTCTCACTGCTTCTGGACCTGAGATGTCAAATGATGAGCCTGTAAAACACAAATCTATGTACCTGTCACCATCATCACTCTGAGACCAATGCCACAGCTGCCTGCACTGTGAGCAGCACCAACAAGTCCAAGATCTGATGAGTGGGACAGAGTCAAGGAAGAAATTCACTTGCCACAACACAGACCTTTATCCTTCAAATTCCACTGGCTCAGAGCCACCTCAAAATCACCTAACAGCGCCACTGCAGAGCTCAGGGAAACAAAGGCAGTGACTCTGAGCAATCATTACCTCCTATAATTCACTCCCTCCTGCTCCCTGTGGCTCCTAAATTGTTGTCCTTTTGTGGCATCTCTGTGTTAAGCTGGTCTCTTGGGGAGAAAGTGCCAGGGGACCCATTTCCACACGAGTGTGCTTGCTCCTGACCTGCCCTGGTGGCCTCAGGAGGTCCAGCTGCTGCACCCACTCCCCTTGCTGTGCAGAGGCCACTTCTACTGGTTCTAATGGTTCCATAGAAGCACCCCGGCTGCAGGGTCTTTGACCTTGACCAAAGCAGTGATGCCAACTACAGAATCCATATCACACTGATCCCATGTTCTTTGTTGACTCGCCATACATTTCAGTTCCCATTTTCTAGAACAAGTGATCTCATAAGATAAAAGCACTGAAGCTACAGCCTCATGTGTCTTTCTTAAAACTACTAGAAAGGATTCAAGCAAGAGCTAAAAAGTGAGAAAAGAGACAAGCTCATGAGCCCTCATGGGTGCAGACCTAGAGATGGGAGGTTCTCCGGGGTGAGCCAGGAGGACCCAGGGCAGCCTGCCCCGAGGCTGTGAATCCACTTCCCTGGTTGCTCACCTGGGAGGATGAGAAGCAGCAGAGCTGGGCAGCCCAGTGTCCCTGTCCCCCTAGACCCTGTCCTCTCTGAGCAGCCAGCCCCAGCTCTACCCAAGGACTTAACATTCAGCCCAGAATTAGCCTCATGGTCTCCCTCCCTGTGATACGACTCCATGTGTCTCCGTCACTGCACTGACCTCACTGGATGACGGTCTGGCCTTTGGTTCCACCGGAGCAGAAACTGGGGCAGCGGGTGAGTGGCTGGACCCACGGTCCAGAGCGCCTGCCCACCCTGGCCTCACTGCCTGTCCCTCCCTGGACCTGAGCGCTTTCCTGGAGGCTTCCACGCTCCAGGTGCAAGCCCCACCAGCTGCCAGGCTTTGGAACAACCCAGGCCCTGAGCTATGCCCTGAAGGGGTGGGTCTGGGCTGGAGCCCGAGCATCTGTGTTCCTGAAAGTGCCGATACCACCCCCTTCCTTCTCCCTGCCCCACCCCTGAGAAGGATTCACCACAATCCCTCCATCTGGTCCAAAACATAGCCCGGCTGAGGGACACTGGCCGGAGGGGCCCTTGTGATCGATGGGGTTCTGTTTCTCTCCTGCACCTTCAGAGCCCCTGTGAGGGAGCAGCGCCTCGGTTTCCACTTCACCCAAAGGGGCCTGGATGCTGACAGGGCCCTGCCAGTAGCCCTGACGTGTCCCGTCCCCCGGGACAGACCCTCTGGCTTCCTGCCAGCCTCGTCACCCCAGCTCCTGAGACCCCGGCCCCACTCACCTGGGACGATGAGGAGGAGCATTGGTGGGAGCAGCCACATGGTCCTGCCTGAGGGCTCCCTCCCTGGTCACCGCCAAATGCCAGTGCCCTCCTGAGCGGAGCCAGACGCTCACTGCCCTCGATTTGTCTAAATCATAACATTTTGTTTCTCTCATCGACTTCCCTTAAATTTCCATCTTCCGTCACTTCCTCATTTCCTTAGGTAGCAGAAAGGCAGTGTCATCATTTATGAGCACATGGCTCAGTGACTCCAATGCTTTGGGGGAGGCAAAGCGTCCAGGCCTGGCCAGGGTCCATCTGAGTGTGTGTGTGAGGAGCTGAGAAGGTGGCTGCAGGCACAGCTGCAGGGCGAGCAGCGGGCCACAGGGAAGAGCCCAGAGCTCGGGCGAGGGAGTGACCGACTCGCGCTGGGAGTGCCCTTTGGGGGGACGCAGCCCTCAGGGCTCATTCCCAGTCTGGCTGAAGGGACAGCCCCATCCTGGTCCCACTGCAGGCAGCCCCACCACAGGCCACTCAGACCCCCTTCCTGCCCTGGGCCATTGTCTCCCCTGAGCTGGACCCCCTGACCACACCCTCCCCCCCTCCTCCCATAGGACAACTTCCTCCCAGGTCCTGAGTCACTCTCAGGCCTTGGGGACATGATAGGGAAGGAGAAGTGGCTTTCTGTCTTCCATGCCTTTTCCCCTACATCTCTGCAGTTCCGCTGGCTGTGGCTCTTGGCAAACTCACTGTGTGGACACGGCTTATGCTGAAGAGCCTCTCCCCACCCCCTCCAGAAGCCTCCTCCCTCCTTCTCTCTCACCGGTCCTCTCCCTCTCCTGCTCCCCCCCCCCCTCCCACCGGACCCCCAATCTCCTGGAGTCTGTCCTAGAATCTCTTGTCTCCGGGGAGTGTCCCTTCCCGGCTGTGTGACATCACCTCTGAGCACAGGAGTGTCCCAAACACACCCTCCCGCCACCCCATCTCCTGGTCGCTAATCGGCTATCACTGGCGATGCTGAGAGCCCACAGCCAGTGACACATGCAAGGGCGTGGGGGAAAGCATCCAGGACAAAATGAGGCTGAAGCCATAACGTCCCCAAGCTCTGAGTGCTGCGTCCCCCCAAAGGCACACTCAGTGCAAGTCGGTCACTCCCTCGCCCGAGCTATGGGCTCTTCCCGCCCCGCTGCTCGCCCTTAGCTGTGCCTGCAGCGACCTTCTCAGCTCCTCACACACACACTCCAGATGGACCCCGGCCAGGCCTGGACACTTTGCCTCCCCCAAAGCATTGGAGTCACTGAGCCATGTGCTTGTAAATGATGACACTGCCTGTCTGCTACCTAAGGAAATGAGGAAGTGACGGAAGATGGAACTTTATGGGAAGTAGGTGAGAGAAACAAAATCTTATGATTTAGACAAATCGAGGGCAGTGAGCGCCTGGCTCCGATCAGGAGGGCACTGGCATTTGGCGGTGACCAGGGAGGGAGCCCAGAGGCAGGACCATGTGGCTGCTCCCACCCCTGCTCCTCCTCATCGTCCCAGGTGAGTGGGGCCGGGGTCTCAGGAGCTGGGGTGACGAGGCTGGCAGGAAGCCAGAGGGTCTGTCCCGGGGGGCGGGACAATCAGGGCTACTGGCAGGGCCCTGTCAGCATCCAGGCCCCTTTGGGTGAAGTGGAAACCGAGGCACTGCTCCCTCACAGGGGCTCTGAAGGTGCAGGAGAGAAACAGAAACCCAGCGATCACAAGGGCCCCTCCGGCCAGTGTCCCTCAGCCGGGCTGCGCTGTGGACCAGATGGACGGGTCGTGGCGAATCCTTCTCAGCAGCGTTCAGGAACTCCGATGCTCGGGCTCTGGCCCAGACCCACCCTGTCACACGGGGCTCAGGGTCTGGGTGGTTTCAAAGCCTGGCAGCTGGTGGGCTTGCAGCTGGAGCGGGGAAGCCTCCAGGAAAGCGCTCGGGTCCAGGGAGGGACGGGCAGCGAGGCCAGGGTGGGCAGGCGCTCTGGACCGTGGGTCCAGCCACTCACCCGCTGCCCCAGTTTCGGCTCCGGTGGGACCATGGCCAGACGGTCATCCAGCGAGGTCAGGCAGTGACGGAGAATGGACAAAGTGGTCCGGCGGCTTCGGGAGGGCTGTGTTGGCCACAGAATCTGGGAACCTTAGGAGAGAGGATCCGTGAGCTGAGCCTGGAGGGATGGGGTAAGGGTTTGATTCCTTCAATGCCGAGAACCTTCTGTGGGAGGGAACGCTGTGCCAAGGTCTGGAGACACAAAGAGCATGGTTTTCAAGGTAAAAAGGAAAACAGTGTGAGTGTGTTTTTGTGACTGTGTGAGTGTGTGACTGTGTGAGTGTGTGGTACCGTGTGTGCGCGTGTGTGCTATGAGTGTGTGTGTGTGAGTGTGCTATGAGTGTGTGCATGAGTGTGTGAGTGTGTGTGTGCTGTGAGTGTGTGTGTTTATGATGTGTGTGTGTGTACTGTGAGTGTGTGAGTGTTTATGATGTGTACGTGTATGTGTGTATGCGTGCGTGTGTGCTGTGAGTGTGACTGTGTGTGTGTGAGTGTGTGTGTGTGTGTGTGAGTGTGTGTCTGTGAATGTGTGTGTCTGTGAGTGTGTGTGAGTGTGTCAGTATGTGTGAGTGTGTGTGTGTGTGAGTGTGTGTGTCTGTGAATGTGTGTGTCTATGAGTGTGTGTGAGTGTGTGAGTGTGTGTGTGAGTGTGTGAGTGTGTGTGTGTGTCTGTGAGTGTGTGTGGGTGTGTGTGAGTGTGTGTGAGTGTGTGAGTGTGTGTGTGCTGTGAGTATGTGAGTGTGTGTGAAAGTGTTTGAGTATGTGCTGTGAGTGTGTGTGTGTGAGTATGTGTGTCTATGATGTGTCTGCGTGCGTGTGTGCTATGAGTGTGTGACTGTGTGTGTGTGAGTGTGTGTGAGTGTGTGAGTGTGTGTCTGTGAGTGTGTGTGAGTGTGTGAGTGTGTGAGTGTGTGTGTCTGTGAATGTGTGTGTCTGTGAGTGTGTGTGAGTGTGTGAGTGTGTGTGAGTGTGTGTGTGAATTTGTGTGTCTGTGAGTGTGTGTGGGTGTGTGTGAGTGTGTGAGTGTGTGTGTGCTGTGAGTATGTGAGTGTGTGGTGAAAGTGTGTGAGTATGTGCTGTGAGTGTGTGTGTGTGAGTATGTGTGTCTATGATGTGTCTGAGTGCGTGTGTGCTGTGAGTGTGTGGCTGTGTATGTGTGAGTGTGTGTGAGTGTGTGAGTGTGTGAGTGTGTGTGAGTGTGTGAGTGTGTGAGTGAGTGTGTGTGAGTGTGTGTGTGTGTGAGTGTGTGTGAGTGTGTGAGTGTGTGAGTGTGTGTGTGTGTGAATGTGTGTGTGTGTGAGTGTGTGTGAGTGTGTGAGTGTGTGTGTGTGAATGTGTGTGTGTGTGTGAGTGTGTGAGTGTGTGTGTGTTTAGTTCCTGCACCTCTGTCCCCTGTGCAGAGTCAGAGGGTGAGGGCATTAGGTGTGTAGGGGACGGAGGAGGCCCATATGTAACCTCATCGCTCTAGGATTCACAAATAAATCTGCGGGTGGAGCCAGTTTGGCTCAGTGGATAAAGTGTCGGCCTGCAAACCAAAGGGTCCCGGGTTCAATTCCGGTCAAGGGCATGTACCTCGGTGGTGGGCTTCTCCTTGGCCCAGGCCCTGGTCAGGGCCGATGCAGGAGGCAGCCAGTGGATCTTTCTCTCACATCACTGTTTTTCTCTGTCTTTCCTTCCCTCTTCCACTCTCTGAAAACCTGCCCTCGGGTGAGGATTAAAGACAAGGAGGAGAAGTAAGCCTGCGGCCTGTGGGCAGGTGGGGGAGGAGGAGTGCAGGAGGGGGGATCCCCGGAACGGGGTGGGGGGAGCAGGCAGAGGCCTGTGTTGGGCATTCAGAATCCAAAGGGACCTTCGCAGGAGAGGTGACCGGAAAAGGAACCTTGCCGGGGACTGAGGAACAAGCAGGAGGCGGGTGTGAGGGCCCAGAGGCTGCCGGTGGCCCGGGGCGGGGCCCGAAGCCCGCCAGCCCTGGGCTGCGGGCAGGGGTGCGAGCTGGGCTTGCTTTGCAGGCTGCTTCTCCATGTCCGGCCCGGGGTCCGTGAGCGGTCCCCGAGGGGGTTCGGCGACCATCCAGTGCCGCTATGACCCAGGCTATGAAAGCTACTCCAAGTGGTGGTGCCGCGGAGAGGCCTGGGGTTCCTGCCACACCCTCCTTAAGACCACGGGGTCCGACTGGATGGTGAGGAGCGGCCGCATGTCCATCCAGGACAACCACCACAGGCACCTGTTCACCGTGACCATGGAGGAGCTCCGGGCGAGCGACCAGGATGCCTACTGGTGCGGAATTGAGAGGCCAGGAATCGACCTGGGCCACCAAGTGCGCGTGTATGTTGGTCCAGGTAGGACCCGCCCCTCCGGTCCTCGGAGCCTGGGGCCGGCCTTGGAGCAGGCAGAAGGCTCCCTCTGCCTGCACTGACAGGTGGGGAGGAGGCAGGAGACCACACGTGTGCTCACATACGTGCTTGGGGAAATAGGCCAAGAGTCTGGTGACGGAAAGAGCCAGCTTCAGCATGTCTGTGCGCCTCCATCCAGTGTCACCAGGGGGCAGAGAAGGGCCGCTGCACGTGGGCAGGCTTGTCCAGAGCCAGGTTCCTCTTCTCCAGGCTTTTCGGGCTTTGCCTCTATCCTCAGAGCAGCCCCAGCCCAACCGACCCCGGGGCCTTGTGGGCCGTGCAGGGAGGAGTGGGGTGTTGGAAAGCCCTTATCCGATTGCCTCAGCCACTGGACAACTAGTCTTCTCCCTGCCCACCCTCTCCCCCCATCTTCCTCTCCCTCCTCTGGCTCCATAAGAGCAAAGGAGCCCTGGCCAGTGTGGTTCAGTTGGTTGAGCATCATTCCTTGCACCAGAAGGTCACTGGTTCAATTCCTGGTCAGGACACATAATTAGGTTTCAGGTTTTTTGTTTGTTTGTTTGTTAATATATTTTCATTGATTTCAGAGAGAAAGAGAGAGGGACAGAGAGAGAAACATCAATGATGAGAAAGAATCATTGATTGGCTGCCTCCTGCACACCCCTTACTGGGGATCAAGCCCACAACCCGGGCACATGCCCTTGACCTAAATTGAACCCGGGACCCTTCATTCTGCAGCTAGGCCAGGTTTTAGGTTTGATCCTTGGTTGGAGCCTATATGGGAGGCAGCCAATTGAACTCTCTCTCTCTCTCTCTCTCTCTCTCTCTCTCTCTCTCTCTCTCTCTCTCTCTC